GTCACCATCTTCAACTGATGGTTTCGTTTTTCTTTTCTTTTTGCTAGATATCTCAAATACGACTACCATATGCATGTAAATTGCTGTTTCAAGAGCTGATGGCAATGAACATAGCACCGCGTATGCTGGTTGACTAAATTTCCTCGTCTGTTCTTGTTATCGATAATGTACATATGTAAAACAGTTATAAAGAAATCATGCTGGATGGATTGAGTGTTGAGGACTTGTTTTTTTTTAAATGTTTTTAACTATACAAGAGAAAAGAAATTTTCTTAAATAAATAATAATTTTTTCACGAGTACCGTGGAGATCGTTATCTCGATCCAAAAATTGAAATTCTTCCTCGATTTCTAAACTTATACACAAAGCACTCTAGTTTTCAACTTCTAAACTCAGAATTCGAACATTCGAATCGTCAACTACCACATCAGCTTACGATTCCCTGTAGAAAAGTACGTGTCCTCACTATAGTAACGAAACTGTACAACTACCTTGTGATGCCAAGCCCTGCCTTTTTCATCCAACATTACATGACATCTGCTCTATGGCAAGGCGGCAGAATATCTCTTGGAGCACCCTTAGTCTATCCTACGCATAATTCTTACATCTACACTTTGAAACAATGGAAAACTAAACTGTTCGAATTGTAAATATAGAACTTAAAAAGTCGAAATATATTTCCGACTTCTACGTGTATTGATAAATAAAAACCGAGATGTTTCGGAAATCAGATACGCAATTCGACTCACAAACGAAATGTCAGTCTGAATAGTGTGATGGTACTGTTTCAATTCTATTGTCATGCACACTCTTGTTCAGTGGTGTCGTTGTACGTGGATATTCCAAAACAATGATCTTTAAAGACAATTGAGGGAAATCATTAACATCAGTTTTTGTTATATACGCATCAAAAATATAGTCAATAATGAAATTCTTCTCTAATAAGATTCAATATGAATTTTCTTTCAAAGAGTAGAATGAATCTGTAGGACTGATGGCGTGAAAATATGATAACTTTTTAACCACAATCTTTTGTTTGTTTATCCTCACCAGCTGGCCATTGACTGGACAATTCGACGCACATTTAATTGATTGTATAACGCGAAGAATATACACATAAGACTAATTTATGGAAATTGATAAATGATTGTTTATCGATGAGAAATAATTTTATTAATGAAAAGCGAAAATATGACAAAAAACAAAACAAATAAAGAATTTTATTTAAATCGACACATTGACTGCCAAGCTTTTCAAGTATTCACCAAGATCGACGTTAGAATAATCATCGGCTATAAGCGTTTAATTGTATCTTCGATTTTTTTGATAGGTTGCTTTTTCAAATCGTCAGGTATTGTTGTTGATGCTGCACGTTGTCGACGGATTGTTCTCTGGAGTGTTGCCATTTTAGGTAATGGAGCAGCTGCATCCAACGAACAAGATTTTAGTTCAGAAAATAAAATAGTACTTGTTGGTTCGTTGCTGATAACAGCGCGAGCTTTAATTTTGTTTTTCAATTCGATGACTAGAATTTGATCAATAGATGGTCCATGGCAATGTGCGGTTGGTCTTTTTATGAAGATGGTCATAGATGGATCAGTATGGCAACGACCTAATCGATACGAAACGTTTATCGAAATCTTTTTTCCAATTTAACTTACCTTTACACAGACGATTTTGACATCTAAAAATAATTTTTTCTTCCGTTTTACGTTCTTTGGTGTAAATGTAACCTTCATAACCAAGCATTGGTTCTCCTTTTTCGCTTTCTAATCTTTGCATTATGTTCGTTGTTTTTTAATAGAGAGTAATAGTCGTTAAGTTTACGTGAAAGTGTTCTGTTTTAGAAATCCTTTTATATAAAATATTTAGGTTGATCTGCTTTCGTTAATATTCTCTAGATGTCAATGGAAAAATTGTTTTTAATTTTCCAAAGATAACACAATCATCTCCAATCAACATTTATTCGGTAATTAGATTACAAATTAAATTAAAACACTTAAGAAAAGAATCAGAATATGATTCACATTAATTACAATACGTTGCGACGAATTATCCTAGCGTCTTCGACTCACTAGATGAATCGATTTTTTTGCAAATGAGTGAAACTCGAGTCGAGTTAAGATAATGCATGGTTTACTAATGTCTGAAGACAGCGTGCTCTATTGAACATAAGTATGTAGATCTTTACTCAGAATCTCAAGTTGAAGAGCCATCAAAGATTGCCTGTAGAACGTTTCTTTCAGTAGAAGACATAGCAACTTTTACGTTGCATTACTGTTCGTAAAAACAACAAGCCAGACAAATGTTCTTCTTCATATGTCCGCATTCATGTCTTATCGAACGGGAAAGAATGAGATGAATATTGTGCTATTCTCCTCAAATAAATTGACATTGTTGACGTTAAAATGACAAACATTCCCAATATCATGGATATGTTGACGAGATCAGTTTCTGATCGCTTGACATCTTCTTCAACACCTATAGATACAAAGAGACATGAAGAAGTTGCATCAATGTTGTTTGACAATGTCGAACTTGTACCCAATTAAACATAATGTTCGGTGGAGGATCAAGATATACTTGATTTTAATTTTAATATTGAACGTAACAATAACGATGATAATAAAAAGAGAAAAATCCAAGTGTTCGAAGCCCTTTAAAGGACTAGAAGACAAGATTCGCATCGGTGGTCTTCTAAACTATACCGAATCACAAAGAACCAACCAGCAACTATGCTCAGGCCATGATCTTGATTTGAAAAGACGGACATTTCAAAACACTTCGTAGTATGGTGATATAATTTTCATGGCTGGTGAGCATTGACTAATTGAGTTTGAAACTGTCATGATATAATATAGTTTCCAAAAGAGTATCGTATTGGATATCAGACGGGCACGTGTGGCGTATGTGTATGTAAGGAAGAGGGTGGAGGATATGATGTATGAAATGAGGTGGTAGTGAAAGTGAGATTGATGAGTGAATTGCTGAATTTGAGAATGAGTCTAAGCGAAGGAAACAGTTTTAATCATTTTTATGTAGAAAGTAGGTTCGGTAACGCTGTTGCACGGAGATATAATCGAAATTAGCCTTTTGTATAATACACGGCGGGAAAGATAAAGATCACAAAAGAAGAAATTCAAAGCCAATGGATCTTCTTATCCGCTGCGGTTTTTCAACGCGTAAGAATATGAACATTGCTGTTTCTTATTGCCACCGGATACCTCTGCTAGTAAATCTCCATTCATAATCATATCGATTTTGAACGACAGCACTACCGTGTTTTCGAAGAAAGTTTCATGAAGATCGGAAGCTATAAGTCGCAGCATTTTCTTATAACAAGCTAGGCATTAAAATAGTTAAAGAAATACATACAAACCAGATATGTGTTTACATCTGTTCCAAAAATCATTACAGCCACCTTAATGATTGCATAGTCTCTACAGGTGGATCTTGACATGCCATATCAACTTTGTTCACTCGAGTTACTCTTTCACCGTTCAAAAGTTTCATTTGCAATGAAAACTCTCACCCGAATCAATTTCAAGGTAAACAATGGATATGGAAATTGCCTGAAAACAGATATATACAAAACTTACGAAACTCGTTCGATGATTTATTCACTGCATTAACTAAATCAACTTTGAAACAATCCCAAGCATGTCCATATAGTTATGGATCATAGCTCATGATACACAGATAGCTGCTTACTGAGTTTGGATCCCGTAGTGAGATAACATTATTAATATCAACAGAAAGTATCGCTTCAAAGCAGAAACAATCACTTCTGATACTTTTTTTCTGGTGAGCATTTCGAACAAATGAAATGCACGATTTTGCAGAACAAATCTTTGTGTGAAAAGACCAATGCTGCTCAATATGTCGACCACCATGAATAAGATTATTATTTTATTTTTTAAACTTTGCTTTCCTATGCAACTGATGGATGTGCGATGTGCTCTCTATTCAATGTACGAGTGATTAGTATACGGAGAGCAAGATTTTCTTCTACTGAACTATTGAAAACTTGAACAAAGTACACACGTTCACTTACAAACAACGGCGGATCAGGTCACGCTGTCTCTCGAATGGTCATGACGCGTTCCGCTTAAATTGACATGGCCTGATGGTCTAATGGTATGATTCTCGCTTTGGGTGCGAGAGGCTCCGGTTTCGATCACCGGTCAGGCCCAATTTTTTTTTCTCTCTCTTCTTTGCTGTTCTGATTCACGTATAATCCTCGTTGTCTTCTTTGGTATCTAATTACTATATTTTATCAAATGTTCGTCATAGGTCATACGAAGCTATGATATGATGCATAGATTTTTTTCAACGAAACTTACATCCACATTTTCATATAACCCATTTTGTAGAGAGTCGAAAGCTCTAAAAAATCTACTATGTTCGAACGTTTTAAAGAGTGGGTCCGTATGTCCTATCAATTATTACTAAGTCATATATGAAAATTATATAATTTGACTCTCTTGTTCAGTCTGTTTCTGGAAATTTACCTAGATGATGAATGATGTTTCACATAGTATTTTCTGTATCAATCAGTCACCTGTATGCGAATATTCGAGTTGAAATCATGAGATTGAAAAGGATATAGTTTCGTTAGTATAGGATATTTTTATGACACTTCTTATTGATGCTTCTTCAACAAGATCATATTTTTAATGTCAGGTATATGAATTTGCTCTGAAAAAGGATGAATGATGAGGTTTTCTGATTTGCGCCAAGGGTTCTACACTGTGGAAGAACAAAAAGATCTCTCAGTGCAGTATAACAATGGATAAAAACGAGGAGGGAAAGGAAAATCATATCGAATGTACGGATATCTGACATAAACAAGATTCTCGAGGATATTTAATCATCAATCAATATCTTCAATAGTTTTCTTATTTGAAGATGCTGTGGAATCACCAGGATGAATCTCATCATAGTCAGAACTATCTTTTTGTTCTGAGAAGAGAGTGCTGTCGTCTCTAGTATGAAGCAATTTCGTAGCAGATAGTAGATGATTTCATGGAATAATTCCTCTGTTATCGAATTAATTGAATTACCTCGAATGAAGACGAAACAAAGAGTGAAAAGGCAGCAAAATACATTTTTCTTATGAAATCAAAGTTTGTTTATGGGCGAAAATCACAAGTTATAATTTAGCGAAAGTTTTTTTCTTTCTGTTCAACTGCCACATTCGAAGACGATGGAGGAGGAAACACATTTTTAATATCACCTATGAACATATCCAAGCGAAGTAGAGTCTTGTCTTTATCTAAAGCAAAAAGTTCGAATTGATCTATTCGATCAAAATCAATCGACAATTGTTCGAACAATTTCTTAGCAAGCGACGAAATCAATTGCTCAGAATGACGTGGCAGCACAATCGTCCGATCGAGATAGGTAATAGAACACGGCAAATGTCGAGGCGAATGCAATAGAAATTCGAAGTTTGTCCTTATTGCATCCATGCCATTCAACGATAAGCCTTCATCAGGATTCGTTCCGTCGGCTAATCGTAGCTGAGCGTTGTCTTCTGACACACTAAATAGACGGCATGAAATAAAACACAAGCGTTCTACAGTCATTATGCGATGGCAACTAAACTGAATAGTTTTGCCATGCTCGTCCAAATTCACTCTCACGGTCACTGGTAAACTATTTTCAGTAGTAGTGAAATGAATCGGTGTCTCCGCCATGTAATAAATTAATTGAGTTTCTTTCGCAGCAATAATCTAATTGAAGTAAAGCAAATATTGAGTATCAAGGTTGATCTGTTGTTCATTGCAAACATCGACGATGGTAGCATTGGAACTAAAACAGTTCTCGACGACAAATGCTGATGATGTGATTGCAACATGACAGACATCTTTTCTATCAACGAGAAGAAACTTATCTTCCTGTATAAAAGAAATAACTTCATTTTCCTTTCGAATTCTTTTCGTTTCTTTCGCAGCTAAACACCGGTCTGTGTTAATTAGCTTTAGCAGATCACGCGTCGTCATGCTTTCTTTCGGTAAAACAATGGTAGTCTCTTTTTCACCATCATGGATTGTCACAACTTTTGATACCGCCAATCGAATATTGAGCTCATCGTTCTCTGTTGTACAGAAGGTTCGCAATGTTTTCTGAACGTCATGTTTAGATAGAGGAATCGACTGGTTCTCTTTTTCCAAACTCATTGTAAAGTGTTCGGGTGTCGTGTCCCCGAATTGGAATGTTCTTTGAATCGAGCCAAAGTCTCTCGTTCATGCGTCTCCATGTGATTGAACCGAACTAGATTTGGAAGATTCACGATTAATTCGATCGCCACTACGACCGCTCTGTGATGCCGTTTCATTCTATCTGCTCTTGCTCTCACTCCCCATTGACTATTACCACTCTTCTCCAATGCATGCACGTCCATCTTCGAGTGACAATGATGTTTATCCTGTTCATTCGGTCGATGCCGCCGAAAAAAAATTGAGAATTCAACTTGTTCTTCTTATTGTTTATTTACATCAATAAGCAACTGAATGGAATAATATCTAATGAGAAGGAACTTTCTCCAAATCCTCTCAGTTCCTCCACACAGCATAACCTATTGAGGAAGATTCTTCCACTGTTGAATCAGTTCAATGGTCAACTTCACGTATTCATCGATCGAGATCTTTTTCTTCACCAGATCGTCGGCCACTTGTCGGATTTTCTTTACGATCTCCTCCTTATCACTCTAGAACGAGAAAAGCGATCGTCAGTAACGTGAAGAAGATTGGGTAGATGATTCAAACAAGACAAGCCCAGGTCGATAATTCCGGCGACTGGGTCCGTTGAAATCTGAGTCGGTTCCGGTACTGCTCTTCTCGATTCCGGCACAGTTTTCGGCCATTCTGTATCGATAAAGAAGAAAATCGTATGAAGCGACGGCAATGAATGAATGAGTGGGCGGGCGGGCAGGTGAAGGAAAGAGTAGATATAGAAGAGGTAATGATCTGTCACTTATCAATTAGTCAAGGAAGAGAGAAAGAAATCATTGTTATTTACTAACATCGCCGGCATTGGCTCATCCGGTAAATTAACTCCAAGTATGGGAAAATGACCTTGTCAATGTTGACAATGGCATTGTCCAAAAGATCGCGTTCGGTTCGACGCTGATCTACCATCATCTCGAAGTTCAATGGGTGTTTGTTCTTTTGGTGACCGAGCTACATTCTTGTGTTTGCTGTTTGGAAGTCACACAGATCACATTCGATTTGATTGTCAGCTGAAGAAAAAATCGGTTTTAGAATTTCTCTCCGTATTAAAGACTCAATGAACAGCGAATTCAAGGGAGAGACAGCTGGAACGCGAGACAAGGGAACATCTTACCGTTTCTAGGCCAGGGAAAATCGTCGAACAAACGGTAAACCGCTTGGGTGATGCTCATGTTGGCAAGTAAGAGAGAATGAATTCTTTTATGTTTCTCTTCTTTCTTTCTTTAGTGCTTTGTTCAAAGTCACTTCGAGGGAGGATCGAGGTAATCTATCACTATACATTTCATCACATTCGATAGGACGACGTTTGTTTGATCATCCGCCCTGAATAGTGAAAAAGCTCGTGTTTGTGATCGAACGTTTTCTTCGTCTTTTTTTAAAGAGATTTCGTCGCTAAGTTTATGAGAAAAAGAAACTTGATCTGTTTGATTCTTGAGAGAATCTGGCAACAAATGAGATTACAGACGTTTCTGCTGTTTTTATTTAAATGTCAGTTGACTTGTTTCAGATTAACCCTTTCGATCCCTATTGCATCAATTGAAGCCATACAGAAAGAAAAAGAAATGTTTTTCGTTCTTTCATTTTGTCTGTAAACTCGATGATTTCGATTGGTGAGATGCGCACCAATGATTACTTTTCATTAGACTATAGAGCCATCTTTAATCGAAGATAGAAACATCTAGTTTGGTATAATTTATCCGATTGGTCAATTTTTGATTCGTTCATATATATAAACACAGTCGCTTCAAAATATTCCTTGTTTCATTGCGTTTCAGGTTGGTAATAAGATGTATTCGAGCAATGACCAAGCGCAAATCGAAAATGATGATGATCGAGATATTACACCTGAACTTTGGCAAGAAGCTTGCTGGACAGTCATATCATCCTATTTCGACGAGAAAGGTCTTGTTCGTCAGCAACTTGACTCATTCGATGAGTTCATTCAGATGTCTGTACAACGCATTGTAGAAGATTCTCCACCGATTGAACTGCAAGCACAAGCACAATATACTCATACAGGACGAGATGCACCACCAAAATACACAATCAAATTCGGACAAATCTATCTGTCCAAGCCAATCCATCGAGCTGATGAAGGCACTGTTTATCTATGGCCTAATGAAGCTCGCTTAAGAAACTTAACCTATGCAGCACCCTTATATGTCGATCTAAATAAAACTGTTTATAAAGATAATTCACCACCCGAAGAGAAAAAGTATGAGAAGGTACATATCGGCGATATACCCATCATGTTGCGTTCAGCATACTGTCTTCTCGCGGAAATGACAGATCGTGACTTAACAGAACTCAACGAATGTCCACTAGACCCCGGCGGCTATTTCATTATCAATGGTAGTGAAAAGGTGTTGATCGCTCAGGAGAAAATGGCCACGAATACAGGTGAACATCAGTCATATCTCTAGACTTGTATATCTTTCTTTCTTTAGTCTACGTATTTTCGATGAAAGATTCCAAATATGCGTATAAATGTGAAGTTCGTTCTGTACTGGAAAACTCGAGTCGACCAACCAGTACACTGTGGGTGAATTTGATGGCCAAAGGAGCACAGGTTAGTTGTGAAGTGTCACGGAGGTGTTTTCTTTTCATAGTACATGACTGTTCATGTTCTCGATAAAATCAATATCGTCAATGGCTTTCTTGAAGACTGACCCCCAAAACGTGTCACTTCCAATCGAAAACGAAGGGAATATTAATATGCTACTCTCTTGGTTTGTTTGCTTTTAGGGCGGAAAGAAGAGTGCAATTGGACAGCCGATCATCGGTATTTTGCCTTATATCAAACGAGAGATTCCTATCATGATCGTCTTTCGCGCTCTTGGTCACGTTTCTGACCGTGATGTTCTTGAACATATCATCTACGATTTCGACGACATGGAAATGATGGAAAAAGTACTGTTATATTTGAAAAACAAGTCTTGTGTGATTTCCTTGTGCTTTTGCCTCTATTTCAGGTGAAACCGTCGCTAGACGAAGCATTTGTCATTCAAGATGATAAACTCGCACTCGACTTCATAGGTGCACGTGGTAGTAATCCTGGTGTGACACGAGAAAAGCGTATTCGCCGAGCGAAAGAAATCCTACAGAAAGAAATGTTACCACATATCGGTATTACTCAACATTGTGAGACGAAAAAGGTTTACTTTCTCGGGTACATGGTCAATCGTTTGCTGTCCGCAGCTTTGGGTCGCCGCGAACTGGACGATCGAGATCACTTGGGAAACAAACGTCTCGATCTTGCAGGTCCACTCCTATCCTTCTTATTTCGTCTTCTGTTCAAGCGTCTGATCAAATATATAACTGCAGCTGGTCAAAAGGCAGTCAATAAGAATCGCGATGTTAGCCAATGGGTCGTTCGATCTGACATAATTACTCAAGGCTTGAAATATTCCTTAGCTACAGGTAACTGGGGTGATCAAAAGAAAGCTCATCAAGCGAGAGCTGGTGTCAGTCAAGTGTTAAATCGACTAACGTATGCATCCACTCTATCTCATTTGCGGCGAGTCAATTCGCCGATCGGACGCGATGGTAAACTAGCTAAGCCACGTCAACTACACAACACCCTGTGGGGAATGGTCTGTCCTGCTGAAACACCAGAAGGACATGCAGTTGGCCTGGTGAAAAACTTGGCTTTAATGGCCTACATTTCCGTCGGATCTCAGCCACAACCCATTCTAGAGTTTCTCGAAGAGTGGTCAACAGAAAATATGGAAGAAATCACTCCATCAAGTATTCGAAATGCTGCGAAAATCTTCGTTAACGGCTGTTGGATCGGTATCCATCGTGATCCGGATCAGCTGATGAACACACTTCGCCGTTTACGTCGTCAATGTGATATTATTGTCAGCGAAGTTTCCATGGTTCGAGAAATTCGTGAACGAGAAATTCGGATCTATAGTGATGCAGGCCGTATCTGCCGTCCTCTAATGATTGTTGAGAAACAGAAGCTTCTCTTGAAACAACGACATGTCAATGCACTCAAGCACCAAGATCCAGTATTCGAGTAAGTCGTCGAAAAGTATGAAAGATATAAGAATGATTTATATCTGTTTCGTTAGATGGAAGGATCTGCTTGGTGAAGGTGTAGTCGAGTTCATCGACTGTCTCGAAGAAGAAACAAGCATGATTGCAATGGTTCCTGAAGATCTGCAACCTAAAGGAGAATCAGCCTATTGTTCAACGTATACTCACTGTGAAATTCATCCGTCGATGATCTTAGGCGTTTGTGCAAGTATTGTACCATTTCCTGATCATAACCAATCACCACGTAACACATATCAATCAGCTATGGGTAAACAAGCCATGGTAAATGATAGTGGAAGAGTGTTGTCTATTGATATCGAAGTTGACTTTGCGCTTCTTCTAGGGTGTTTACATCACTAATTTCCACATTCGAATGGACACACTCGCACACGTTCTGTTCTATCCACAAAAACCACTAGCAGCCACTCGTGCTATGGAATATCTTCGATTCAGCGAACTGCCAGCAGGTAGGAGAGGATGCTTTGATTTTCGACGTTGCCCTTCGCTTTTCTCACAGGCATCAATGCAATCGTGGCGATCGCTTCTTACACTGGCTATAATCAAGAAGATTCAATTATTCTCAACTGGAGTTCAGTAGATCGTGGATTCTTTCGATCCGTTTTCTGGCGTTCATATCGAGAAGCTGAAAGTTCGCAAGGTGATCAACATAAAGAGACCATAGAGAAGCCACAACGCACCACGTGTGTCGGCATGCGCAATGCCATCTATGAGAAGCTCGATGATGATGGCATCATCTCGCCTGGTACTCGAGTCAGCGGTGACGATGTTCTCATCGGCAAAACCGTTACTTTGCAAGATACGGAGGATGATGTACGAACATTGCTCACCATTGTCGCTTTCATCGCACTGTCTTCTTTCTTTCTTTTTAGCTGAATAGCAAAGCGAAAAAGTTCATGAAGAAAGATGCGAGTGTGTTTATGCGTGCAAGTGAAACTGGAATTGTTGATCAAGTAAGTTCAGTGAAGTTGTCGAAAGAGTCAATGAAAACATGTGGACGATGTTTTAGGTGCTTTTGTCGATTAACGACGAAGGCTACAAGTTTGTGAAAATCCGTGTACGAACAGTGAAAGTGCCACAAATCGGTGATAAATTTGCTAGTCGTCATGGTCAGAAAGGAACATGTGGTATACTCTATCGAATGGAGGTAAAGAATAGTTTAGACGGTAGATATCATCACAGAGTTGGTTCGAATCTCTACTCGAGCATCGATCGATCTAGTTATCGAGACAAAGATGGATGAATCAAGTCATCATGTCTTACTTAATTCATCATGGCTGTTCTCGAAAAACATATTCCTTGTCAACCACTAATCGATTCATCTAATCGATTTAGTCACCTTTTCTCGGATACATAACTTCTTCATTCTTGTTTGAGAATAAGAAAGCGAAACGAATCTTGTGTTTGTTCTCGTTTCTGAATTCTCATATATCGAACTAACGCATTACATAGCCCCATATAAACTTCTTTGTTATGTTTATAGTCGGTACTTTGTGATGGAACATTGCCTCTCTCTCTCTCTCTGTCTTCTCTCGACTCATTCTTGACTGACTCTTGATTCACTTTTTCCAGGACATGCCATTCACTGCTGAGGGCATCACACCGGATTTGATCATCAACCCTCATGCTATTCCATCTCGTATGACAATCGGACATTTGATCGAATGCTTACAAAGCAAAGTTGCAGCCAACAAAGGTGAAATCGGTGATGCCACGCCGTTCAATGACAATGTGAACGTGAAACACATGTCTGAGATGTTGAACGAGTATGGGTATCATCTGCGAGGCAATGAAGTCATGTACAATGGTATGACAGGAAGAAAGTTGACTTGTCAAATCTTCTTGGGACCGACTTAGTAAGAGACGGCTGTTTTGATGCGTGAATGAATGAGATCTTGTTTGTAGTTATCAACGACTGAAACATATGGTGGATGACAAGATCCATTCTCGTGCTCGTGGTCCTGTGCAAATCTTGAATCGTCAGCCAATGGAAGGTCGTTCGCGTGATGGTGGTCTTCGTTTTGGTGAGATGGAGCGTGATTGTCAAATCTCGCATGGTGCTGCGCAGTTCTTGAAAGAACGTCTTTTCGAAGTGTCGGACCCGTACCGAGTGCACGTGTGTAATATTTGTGGTCTTCTTGCCATCGCTAATCTTGCCGAGAAGACATACAGCTGCAAAGGGTGCACAAACACCACACAAGTATGTTTTCATCAGTCACCATCTTCAACTGATGGTTTCGTTTTTCTTTTCTTTTTGCTAGATATCTCAAATACGACTACCATATGCATGTAAATTGCTGTTTCAAGAGCTGATGGCAATGAACATAGCACCGCGNACGTGTGTAATATTTGTGGTCTTCTTGCCATCGCTAATCTTGCCGAGAAGACATACAGCTGCAAAGGGTGCACAAACACCACACAAGTATGTTTTCATCAGTCACCATCTTCAACTGATGGTTTCGTTTTTCTTTTCTTTTTGCTAGATATCTCAAATACGACTACCATATGCATGTAAATTGCTGTTTCAAGAGCTGATGGCAATGAACATAGCACCGCGCATGCTGGTTGACTAAATTTCCTCGTCTGTCTTTGTTGTTTCTTGTTAGTGATTGTGTATATACAGGAGGTTCATATTCGCAGGGTGTTGAAGGTGAACAAAAAGAATGAAAAATCATATCGGATGGATTAGTCGTGGACAGCTTGTTGGTTTTTTTGATGTAATAAACTAAATAGGAGAGCAGCTATTTTTTTAAATAGAGACGGAGTTCATTTCTGGACTGAAAAGTGTCATTGGCACGCCCTTGAACGGCTGTTATTAAGATAAGAATGCTTATGCTCGTTGGATTACTTTACTAAATCTTATCGATTTCATTAGGGATTTCTGTGCAATCGAAATGAAACAGGACGTTTCTTACTAGAGAATCTTTTTTATTACATCTTGTAATGAACAGGCATAAAAATCGATGCATAGGACATACGTAGCTGTTGTTATGTCTGATAACATAGTTATGCGTGTTAGACAATTCGTCGAGCAAATGTACATACACAGGCAAACAACAGTATCTTGTTTCAACTTCATCATTTTTTTCTCGTCGAACCCATTTGTTTGTAAGATGACATAATGAGCGAGACATGCTCAAGTGTCTCTAGTCATTATTGCAATAATTATCTTTGTTCATCGAGAAGTTGATCCTCCCATGGAAATAAAATGTAAATTTTGCTTATTATCAAAAGCATGAGAAAACAAAACGAACGATGTTTCTTTCAATTAGTCTGCCATATCAACAAGTTCTGACAAGTTGATAAGAGAAAAAGATTCTCTGTATATTCAATTCTTTTTTTTTGTCTCTCTAATTAATCCATCGTTTGTTCGTGCTTGACCGACCCACAACGGATCGGCTTAATGTGTTTCTGTGAAGGAGAAAAAAATATGCAAATAGATTGAATAGTGTATATGTGTGTCTTTATATTTCTCTTTTATCTTTGCTCAGATGGACATTCATATGTCATCTACTCATCTGTCAATATCTTTTGTTCTCTTGAGGGTTTCAGATCATCTTGAAATCAAATGTTCTGGTCTTGATTGATCATTTACCTACTGACGAGATGCAGAAAAAAGACGAAGACATCACCTAGAGTGCGAATCAATTAGCACAGTTGGATACGAACGAATTCAATTGGTGACATGTACTGTTCGTCATAGAAGAAACAGTTTATTACAATAATCGAAAAAGAATATAGAAAAAAGCAGAAGGAACTTTCTCAGAGAACATTGTCTATTGGAATTATTTGACAATAAGGCACTTATCCGTTGCCGACGTGAAGCATCTGAATAGAAATCGTAATGAAAAAACTGATCGAAAGAGAGAAAAAATTCGTGTACTAACCTTTCTCAACAACTAATTTTGTCGTACGTCGTTGACGTTTATATACACACGTCCATATTCCTGAGTGATAAATTTGAGCATGCTGAATGGTTAAGGACGAAGTTAAACTATTGTTTAGAAATTTCTTTCGAATATGCACATCATCAGGTTTGCTTTTGTTCATTTGATTGGACACAAAATGCCAATTGATATGTGATAATAATGCTTCCTGATTGTGATTATCGAGAAAAAGACTACAATTTAGTTTCACATGCGTTCCTGGTTCAACGTAGAGATATGACGGAAATAGAATCATTGGAATCTGAACGTGTAAATAAATCGCAATGCTCACGCTCGCTCGTCGATTAGCGATTTGACATAGGTATGTTCCTTCATCTGATGGATTCAATTCATAGATTTCCAGTGTCCAATGAGAATCTCTTAATGAAGACGAGTAAGAAGATATCGAGAAACGCTTATCAGTTGTAAATAATTCTTTGCCAACGGCTAATGGATACGATAAAGAAGTTAATGGATCAAATTTAAACCATGTTACATGATGATCATCTAAATCACGAACATGACATGTTAGAATAGCCGTTGATGAAACATTCCATGTTTGATTGTACGTTTTAGTTAGTATTTGAGGAAATTGCTCCTCAGTCGTCGATAATTTTATCACTATGAACAGAGAAAAAAGATATTCAATCAAATCTGAGAGAGATTTCCCCATAGATGACTTACTGAAAATGACGAGAAAGATTTGTTTAATTTGAAACATCATCATCGATTTGACAGTTTTGCATCACTATTTGACATAGAGTGACAAACTTCAACGAATACAATGTTTTGCGGTTGATTGTGTAAGAAAGCCACTACCTTCGTTCTTCTTTTGTTCGATGTGTTTCTTTTTCAACCGACGATGTTGGTACTAGACATATGAGATGTATGAAAGAAGATGAACGAAGATTATGCTTATTCTCTTGTGCGATGTGACGAACGAGAGAGAGAGAAGAGGAAGAAGAAAAGAAAAATAAACTTAGACTAATGGAATTAGCAATAGGAAGGAGAAAAGATATCTAAGTTAAGAATATGGGATGGATTAAAAGCTGACTAAAAAGAGCGACATACACAAAAACAATAAATAGAATATTCATTGCCTTTTGTTCAAAAGGGATTTTCGTATAAGAAGAGAGGGAAAAAAAGATCAAACGTCGTGCATACAAATTGAATGATGACGCATCTCATTTATTCTCCACTATCGACAAGATTGATATGTCGAGGTGTGATTCTATCATTGAATAGATTGCACCTCTCTGTCTTTTATGTTCTTCTCATACAATTAGTTTCTTTTCCATTGTGCGTGATTGAAGCGACAAATATACTTCTTGTACAGCAGATGAAGACGTACACGCGTGTCTATCCGAGTCAATTTGATTTTGACACTCTTGTATATATATATGGATAGAGAAATGTAAGTACTTACTTACTCGTTTACACGATACAACTCAGACTAGTCAGCATGCTTGTCAGCGTTTCAAACAGACTGAACATGACAACAATAAACTAGCTTTTCGTCGAATATTAGTATTTTTTGCTCTGTTCGATTTTAATAAAGACGATTATTCGACGTCATGTAACTCACAAGTCTATCTTGAATGCTGAATAGGAAATCAAGGTTGTTTTGTTCTGCTACTTCGTTCTTTTCAAGCAAGATTAATTATGAGAAGAATGGAGAAAGACCGTTGTTATAAAGCTGTCAAGTAAAGTCAATATTTTGTTCAATCTCATCGAGCACAATTGGCTAGAGAGAGACATATGTAAGACATTTGTGATGGCGCTCAAGCGTTAGAATAAATATGGCTAGTACAATGATTTTTTGTCTCTAATCTGATAAACGATATGG